CCGGATGTCCTTCTTGCATAAGGATCCACCAAGTGTAAAATCTAAAGCATCTGTATGAACTTCAAATTGTTTAGTCATATCCGGTAAGGTTAAAACTGGGTTCGTCCACATGGACCTCTTCAACCTTTCAAAAGCAGTTTGGCATTGGGATAACCAATCCAAATCATTATCCTTCTTTGTCAATTCGGTAAGTGGCAGTGCAATTTCTGAGTAGCCTTTCACAAATCTTCGATAGTAATTGCATAACTCAAGAAATGAACGCACATCATGTACGATTTTTGGTGGTTGCCAATCTTTGATGGTTGTAACCTTCTTCGAATCCATGCAGATTTTACCTTGTTCAATGATGTGACCCAAAAAACTAATAGATGTCTGAGCAAATGAGCATTTAGACAGTTTGGCATAGAGTTCATTCTCCTATAGTCGATTAAAAACTTGCCTCACATGTTGGACATGTTCCTCCAATGTCTCGCTGTAGATTACTATGTCGTCTAAGTACACCACGACAAAATCATCTAAGAACCCGTGAAGTACCTGATTCATCATAGTACAAAACGTTGCTGGAGCCTTTGTCAAACTAAAAGGCATCACTTTAAATTCAAAGGCTCATATCTGGTTACCACAGTAGTCTTTGCTTCATTTCCCTCCTTAATTCGAACTTGCCAGTATTCGGACCTAAGATCAATTTTTGTGTAATACTTCGCCCGACTCAGTCGATCGAAGCAATCTGCAACCAATGGGATTGGATAGCTATTCTTTACAGTGATCTTGTTCAGGGCTCGATAGTCACAGCACATTCTAAGAGAACCATCTGCCTTTTTCTGAAACGACACAGGAGCTCCATATGGTGACTTCGCATGCACAATGATTCTACTCTTCAACATTTCTCCCAATTGCTTCCTAAGCTCTTCAAGCTCAGGCTGAGACATATGGTATGGTGCCCTGGTGGGAGGCTTAGCACCTGGAATAAGTTCAATTTCATGATCAATCGTCCTTCTTGGTGGTAATTTCTTTGGTAATTCGTCCGGCATGATGTCTTCAAATTCCTGAATAAGCATTTTAACAGGTTTTGCAATAAGAATAGTCGCCTCTTCGATCTCCTCTAATCGAAGGGTGTACAAAAAAAGGTTCATTTCTCTTGAAACCCTTACTAAATTGCATGGCTAAGATACTCTTTTCCCCCATTCCCTCAACTTGTGTAGGGATGACACAAGGCTTATTATCCATCATCATTAACGAATCGGAATACGACATCACTGTTGTCTTAGTATCTCGAAGAAATTCCAATCCTAGAATAAGCTTGAAATCATCCATCTGACATGCAGATAAATTTGTCCTTCCCTCGAAGAGACTTGCTTTGATCAACACCTCGCCACTCCAGCTATTGGTTGAGCAGCAGAGTTGATTGCTTTGACTTTTCCCTACCCTTTTCCAGAACAAGTCCGAGTCGCTCTACTTCGGTACATGCAAGGTAGTTGTAGGTAATACCAGTATCCACCATAGCCCTGATTGGCTTCCAGTTGATCTTCACATCAATGTACATTAAGCCTTTACCCCTAAAAATTTGAGCCTTCACTTCTTCCATCCCTGCCTCTTTCAAGGAGACATCATCCTTTTTAGTAACCCGATGCGACAGTGTGTTGCACTGATGTGAAAATGCCCCAACTACGCCTTTGTCCTCTTCGGAGTCAATCTCACCATGACAACTAGCCTGTGGGGCCTCTTGCTTTGAACTTGACCTGTCACTTGCTAGCTGACAATATGCATTCACCAACCGTTTCTGAGGACAGTTCGACACCCAATGAGGTCATTTGCATTAAAAGCACATCAATTTAGGAGTGGCATCAGTTCGGCCCTCCGTTGCTTTTCCTTTGTTTCAGTTGTTACTGTTGCTGCCGTTATAATTTCCTTGACGGCTATTATGATAATTTCCTTCAAAGCCACGGATGCTTTGATAGGCTCCTCCCTTATTCTGAGAGTAACACTCTCCCCCATTTGGGTTCGCTCTAGGTCTGTAAGGTCTGTTACCACCTTCAATTACTTGAGTACTCCCCGAAGGTCGATTTTTTTTGGATTCTGTTTGGTAGTCGCTCAAATATTCGGCGGCTTCCATGGCTGTGCTCAAATTAGTAACCTTCTGTCCCTGAAGTTTCGTGCATGTCCACGATTTCAACCCTTCCATAAAGGTGAAAAGCTTATCATTTTTCGACATATCTCGAATATTCAGCATATGCCCTGAAAAGGCTTTCACATACTCTCTGATAGAACCTATATGTTTTAAGTCTCGAAGTGCCTGTCGAGCCTGATACTCGACATTTTTCGGGAAAAACTGCGATCTAATCGCTTTCTTGAGGAGATCCCAATAATCTATTCATATCCTTTTGGCCTGAATGTCAGCATATTTGGTTCGCCACCATAGTTTTGCATCTCCACCCAGACACATGGTAGCTGTGGTTACCTTTCTAGCTTCATTTTCGATCGAAGCTGCGAGAAAGTACTTTTCAATGTCAAACAAGAAGTTTTCGACTTTTTTTGTATCATGTGCCCCTCTGTATGTACACGGTTCAGGACTTCTGAGTCTAGGAGCATACTCAGGTACGGGAGCTTGTTCATTGCCCACCGCACATTGGAGTACTCGTAATTGAGCTCTCAATGCTTCCGTTTCATCCTTTAGATCAGGAATGATTGCAGCAGTTTCAGTTATTGTTGCGCAAGCCCTTTGGCTTTCATCCAGTTGGATATGTAATTCACGAATCTCGGATTCAGCCATCTCGACTTTTTTCTCGAGACTGTCCACGACATAGCACAACCTAGTAGTTGTCTCATCAAGTGCATCCACGCGCTGTTTAGTAGCACTCTTCTTTTGAAGCTCTCCCACCGTAATGGTGTGGGATGTAATTGGATCCATAGTTTTCTTATCGAGGGTCGTGAGCCGCAGTACTGATACCAACTTTCACGGGGTGCATTTCTTTTTAACACAGAAAGGGACACCGTGCGGCAGTAGTCTGCTCCGCTGAACTACCTTTCACTTCTTCTTGGTCGCATCGGGACGAAAGAAAATTTGATTACAATTTTATAGAAAGCTTACAATAGAGAATTTGAATACATTGAAAGTAAATTGAACATTGATTGATGAAAACTGAACATTATAATTGACGAAAGCAGAAAATTACAATTGATGGTACAGGGGACGGATACCAGTGAGCTTGAAAGATTTTTGAATGACTAATACCCCCCTATAATAGCATTCTATACAAAAACCCAAGTGACAGGAGTAGACGTTTAAATGACGAGGAATCATACTAAACGTTTACTAATATCAGAGTTATTTTACAACTGAAATAACTATTACAATGAAAAGAAAATTACAACTCAAACTTGAACAAATATTTACAATGTGCGGTCGAAGTTGGCCAAACTACGGCTGCGATTGTGTCAATGGGCTAAGTAAAGCTACGATTCTTGACACCAAGTCTTGATTCATAAGTTTGATGGTTGTCATTGTAGTCTCTTTCTCCATTGCAAGGAAAATAACATTTGAGATTGTTGGAAATAAATTGAGAGATGGAGAAAAAGAAAATCACAAGAGAATATGACAACAAGATGGATAAAAACAAAATTTATATCAACAAATGTGAAGGCTTGAACGTGAGATCGTTGTCCTCAAACATTATTTGCCCATTCTCCGGTGTTTTCGAGATGCTTAAAGGTATTCCGGCAAATGGTTTGAAAGATTATAACAAACCTTGTAAAGAATTTCATCAAAACACAAGATGAAATTCTCCAAAACTTAAAAAACACGAAAATATGAAAGTAATTCGGGATTTGATTGTTCTTAGAACAAAGTATGGATTGCAATATGTTTATCTAACATCTTTCCCTCAAACATGGCTCTCTTATATATAGTTATCGACTAAAAGTACGAAATGGTGTAAAAAAATCAAGTGAAAAGTCACCAAGTTCAAATTTGCAATAGCCAAAAACAGCCAGAAAGGGTCAAAATTTTGTACCATGCGACCGCATGATACAAACCTATGCGGTCGCATGGTTCACTCATGCCGAGACCATTTGGTCTCGGCATAAAGCCATGCGGTCGCATGGACCAATTTTTTTTTATTTTTTATTTTTTTATTGTTGTTGGTTTTGAACAACATAATCACAGCATTTTATGTTTGTTTCAAACCTTTTTTCCTACACTCATTTTCAACAATACATTCATACAGTAAAATTATTCTACATAAAAACCTAAAAGTTTTTCCTAAATTTTAACTGATTTTCAAAAATTTATCCAATACGACCCATTACGAATCACCCTAGTGATTTTCAAAATATCATACATTCCTTATAATCTTGTTAATGTTAAAATAAGTAAGATTAACATGCCAAAGATTGTCTATTTATTTAAAAATTAACCTTATGTGAAAATTAATCGAAGTTCCAAGCATTAACCTTAGTAGAAGTTGAGCAGCAAATTATGTCGAAATTTATCATCAAATTGGATCCCATTCCTCTACATGATGATCACGGGAGAGATGTGCAAAGAGACTCTAATGACACTGAAGGGGAAAATGTAGTCGACTTTCTCTCAAATTTTACATGAACTTCCCTTCTGAAAATGCAAGAAATCACAATAAATTTATTTTGTTATTCTCACTGTTTTGTTGACATTATTATTATTGATTTAGTTAGAATTGATCATGGATACCGTTTCGCGTACCATTTTTCCTGTGATTTTCACAACAAAAATGACCAAAACACATGAGATAAAATGTAGAGTTGCATCACAAGACTTTAATTAAATTTCTCATTCCAAAAAGTTTGTGTTACACAGGAAAAAATTCCAATATTCAGTAAGAGCCAAATGATCTCATTAGGCTAAAAAAAAAAAAAACCCACAAGGCAGAAAAAGAAACAATGATCAAAAAGAATTTGAATAAACCAACTGTAAACTACCATAAAATAATTAAATCACCTAAAGCAGAAAATTTGTGAACTGCCAAGATATTATGGAGCTTAATCCTTTTAGCAGCATTCACTTGGAGCAAAATGGAATGAATTTGTTTCAATGGAAAATCTGTCATTTATAGGTATTGATTTTGTATTCTGTCCCTGTTTGTTTCCCACCAGTGCTTTGCATTCACCTCGCCAAACTTTTCTCGGCTGCATCAAACAAGTCGAAAAGATAAGACAACGACGATAACTGCTGAAAACCGAGAATTGCTAATACGAGGGTAAAAACACCATTAGTAGTCTAGTCTTATATTAGTCATCGAAGTTTATTTTGTTTTGAAGTGATTAACTATAACTTAAGTTGACCAAACTGAAAAGAAAACGAAGTTTAGTGACCAGTTTAGATCAGAGTAAAGTTCGATAAATAAAGCCATCTACGACTGGTAACGAGCTGAAGCTCATGGCTAGTTACCTGAATCTGACTCGCCGAAGCTCCCTAGTACCATCGACCAGTTGTCTGATGGTAATGTACACTCCCGGTTCATCTTCTTCAATCCACTCCGATTCAATGTCACTGGCATTGCTTATGGAAACTGATGGATCGTCTACTGAGGCGTTCGTATCCCTTGATGCTTCCATATACGACGTCTCACCTCTAGGGGCACCACCAGGATAACCTCTTGATCCTGTATTATAATACTGACTGCCACCATGGTCTGGTGGGAAATAACTACTACTCCCAGAAGGCCTATACCTTACTGATGGAGTCATCCTCGGGCTTTCCCGGGCAGATTCGAGCCTCGAGTAAGTTGAATCTCTCTGCATCAATACAAGTCCGAGTTTTCATCAATCAAAACTTTATACATGTGTACATTGACGTAACAATAAGAAAACGCGTTAACACAAAAGTAAATGTGAGTTACCCCATCCTCAGATCTCCCTGGAGTGTTAAAAGCTTGCTGATTGAATTTCTGAACATTGTAGAGCTCCATTATTCTCTCGTAATTTTCGCCCCACCATCTCTGAGCTTCCCATTTATTGAACATCTCCCGGCTACAGATTCAATCATAATCTTGAATAAAAATCAATTCCAATAGACATTTTCAATTTATACAACAATCTGGCATACTCCTAGTCCAAGTTCTTTCAGTATCATATTCAAAACTTGAATAAATAATATGGTTGTACCTTAATTATATCAGTTTATTGTTGTCTACATGATGGAAGCATAAATATTGGTAAGGAACAATATGTTGTTGATAAGTACGTACCTGAAACGGATTCGTTTAAGATCATTTCCTCCACGAGGGAGAGACACGAAAGTAATTTGAACACCAGGTTCCACCTGAGCCATCCATTCTTTGGCTTCATCATTTTCTAGCAATACTTCGCCATACTTAGTCGAGATAGATTCTCGAGCATCAGGGGTCTGATCACCAGCATAAGGCCTGCTAAATCTCGAGTCAGGCTGAGAAGCATGATGAGCAGTGCTAGTAAAATCCCAAGCTGGAGTAGAACTTGAGCTTCCTGGTTGCATATAAGAAGGGTATGGTCCTTCTGTTATATCGAAATCAGGATATGATCTTTGACCTCTCTTATAACTGCTCTCTCCTTTGCTTTGTTTACTAGATCCCGAGACCTTCAACGCCATATCCTTGATCTGATCATCATCAGAATTAGAAGTTCTTAGGATTAACAGAGAATTTAAAAAATGAAAACAAGCAATACGACTACATTTAGTACGTGGTACTCAACAATACAATGTACAAATTTTAACCCTTTCTTTCATTTTTAGCACGATCCAGTATTGTATAGTCCTCCTTAATCAAACAAGCTCTTTATTATAGCATTGTTATCCCTCGTATGATACTTCTAGGCTACAATATTTGCCCCTCCTGAAGAGGACTTACAAACATCCAAAGAAAATTGTTAAATACTGTTCAATATACTTTATCTATCGTCCCGATAAAATAATTGTACACTTCCTTAGAGCTGAAGCACAGTTGAATGTATCTTCTTTTGTACCAGCAAACAGCTATAAAAGAATATCTGAAGCAATTTAAAGCTAGTTTGTAATTTGACTGCAAATTCATTTAATTTTGACCTAGAAAAATTAGTTTCTTGCAGGGTTCAGTCTTTTCAAGGCTGCAACTGGCTCTTTCAGAACAAAAGTAGCTGCCTTACACAGTTCAAAGCATTTGATACAGCTGGTCAACTTTATTTTGACTCTGCGGGCAGTGTTATTATCGTCTGTATATGTACTCATAAAAAATTAGCCCCCTTCTTGCCTCCATTAATTTTTATTTCATTATATTTTATTTTTCTTTTTCGTATTTTCAATCACATAATTTTTTATAAAATAATATTATACATAAATCGAAAACTTTTATTCTTTTTCAATCACTCATTTTTCAAAGAAATACTATTTCACCCATTTTCATTTCCACAAAATGAGAGCCAAACGAGGGCTTGATTATATGTCTTGAAAGCCATATCAGATTAAACTAGACTGTGCTAAATAGTATAATAAGCACCTGTTTGTTATCCATTTTCTCCCTCTCTTTTCCATTACTTTTCTACAGTACTTATTTTCAATCATGTATTTTTTATTAAAATAATATTACACGTAAATAAAAAAATTCATTCTTTTTTAATCAAATATTTCAACATCAATCACTATTCCATGATACATTCTTCCCAAATAATGGGTAACAAACACACCCTAAACAAGATTTAGCTTCTTATCCTTTTTTCTGTTAATGTTGCCATTACTATCTAAACTACCATGCTAAACAGTGATATAAGTGCATTTTACTAGGTTTTTTGTTTTCTTATTTAGCCCATGTATAGTTTAGCTAAAAAAGTTGATAAAAATCTAAACCTAACTTAATAATTAATATTAATCGCACATAATTTCTTGGACACTTCAACTTTTACAACTTCTCAATCACACATTTTATCTACCAAATATCTTATTTTAGTAAAACCAAATAGAAACCTAGCCCTTGTTTGAGCCTCCATTTTTTTTTGTCAAAATACATTCTTTAACAATGACTTGACATCATTTCAATCACACATTTTTCAATAAAATAATATTACATGCAAATTCAAAACTTTTCTTTATTTTTTTATCACGCATTCTCCATCATTACTGTATTTCAAAATTCATTTTTTGAGAAAAATGGGAGTTCAAACAACCCCTTAATATTACCTAGTACCGTCTAATTTCAAACGAAATGTAATAAAGATTGATATTGGAACAAAGTGGTGGACAAGTATTCAAAGGTGGGTCATTTAAAAGGCGAGTCTTCTCCAAGCATGTTTCTTGTCTTTTCTCATAATCCCACCTTCGCACTTTCTTTATCATAGAATTCACACAAGTATCTCAAAAAAGAGAGTAAGAATAAGATTTTATTCTCTTTACACTTGGCTCTAGTGTGCACATTAGGGCTATATTTCTTGGCAAAAGGCACGTGTCACAAAAGATTTCAATATTCTTCGTAATTACTTTGATAAGATTGAAATAAAGTAAAAAAGAAAAAAAAATAAAAAAAAATTAGGGGGCCAAAGTTTTGAACACATGATCCAAGAAAGAGTGTCCATGTCCTTATCATACAGTAATTATTTATTTAGTCACTGTTTTTGTTTGCCTTTGTTCTCACGCCCCGTTTGACCAAGACTTTTCTTGACATTAAATTACTGTATTTGATTAATATTATTGATACGATACAAAATTTATCACTTATTTGTCAATTCTATCTAAACTCCTGTATGAGCCTCAATCTTTTCAAAAAATATATTTTTAAATAGTATTTTGACATCATTTCAATTAAATATTCTTTAATAAAATAATATTAAATGTAAAATCAAAACTTTTCCTTATTTTTTAACTATACATTTTTCATCAATACATTATTTAAAAATACATTCTTATAAAAAGAATGGGGTTCAAACAAGGGCTAATTTGGTATACCACTAAATTGGGACACTGTTTTTATTTTGAGTAACCCTAATATTTAAATCACTTCCTACTAAACGACAGATAAGAAAAATAACTTCTTTTCATGAATGGAAGAGGAAGACTATTACACTCACTTCTCTCGACCTATTGAAACTATGCAATTTGAGCACTCAGTTGAGATTGCTTCCCAACCTTTAAGTTTGTATCACATTGATTTTCACTTTTTGTCAGCATGTTGGGCCCAATTTACAAACCAAATGTAATTTTACCTATAGCTGATGAAAAAAAAAGAGAATATTTATTCAATGAATATTTATATAAAGAAAGATTCAATAATTGAACGCAAAATCCTAAAGTAGTCAATGTGTCTGCTTTAATGTGCTTATCACATTGATTTTCACTTTTTGTCAGCATGTTGGGCCCAATTTACAAACCAAATGTAATTTTACCTATAGCTGAAGGACCTTCCCAACAATACCTTTAAGAAAAAAACAAACACACCCTAAACAAGATTTAGCTTCTTATCCTTTTTTCTGTTAATGTTGCCATTACTATCTAAACTACCATGCTAAACAGTGATATAAGTGCATTTTACTAGGTTTTTTGTTTTCTTATTTAGCCCATGTATAGTTTAGCTAAAAAAGTTGATAAAAATCTAAACCTAACTTAATAATTAATATTAATCGCACATAATTTCTTGGACACTTCAACTTTTACAACTTCTCAATCACACATTTTATCTACCAAATATCTTATTTTAGTAAAACCAAATAGAAACCTAGCCCTTGTTTGAGCCTCCATTTTTTTTTGTCAAAATACATTCTTTAACAATGACTTGACATCATTTCAATCACACATTTTTCAATAAAATAATATACATGCAAATTCAAAATTTTTCCTTATTTTTTTACCACGCATTCTCCATCATTACTGTATTTCAAAATTCATTTTTTGAGAAAAATGGGAGTTCAAACAACCCCTTAATATTACCTAGTACCGTCTAATTTCAAACGAAATGTAATAAAGATTGATATTGGAACAAAGTGGTGGACAAGTATTCAAAGGTGGGTCATTTAAAAGGCGAGTCTTCTCCAAGCATGTTTCTTGTCTTTTCTCATAATCCCACCTTCGCACTTTCTTTATCATAGAATTCACACAAGTATCTCAAAAAAGAGAGTAAGAATAAGATTTTATTCTCTTTACACTTGGCTCTAGTGTGCACATTAGGGCTATATTTCTTGGCAAAAGGCACGTGTCACAAAAGATTTCAATATTCTTCGTAATTACTTTGATAAGATTGAAATAAAGTAAAAAATAAAAAAAAATTAGGGGGCCAAAGTTTTGAACACATGATCCAAGAAAGAGTGTCCATGTCCTTATCATACAGTAATTATTTATTTAGTCACTGTTTTTGTTTGCCTTTGTTCTCACGCCCCGTTTGACCAAGACTTTTCTTGACATTAAATTACTGTATTTGATTAATATTATTGATACGATACAAAATTTATCACTTATTTGTCAATTCTATCTAAACTCCTGTATGAGCCTCAATCTTTTCAAAAAATATATTTTTAAATAGTATTTTGACATCATTTCAATTAAATATTTTTTAATAAAATAATATTAAATGTAAAATCAAAACTTTTCCTTATTTTTTAACTATACATTTTTCATCAATACATTATTTAAAAATACATTCTTATAAAAAGAATGGGGTTCAAACAAGGGCTAATTTGGTATACCACTAAATTGGGACACTGTTTTTATTTTGAGTAACCCTAATATTTAAATCACTTCCTACTAAACGACAGATAAGAAAAATAACTTCTTTTCATGAATGGAAGAGGAAGACTATTACACTCACTTCTCTCGACCTATTGAAACTATGCAATTTGAGCACTCAGTTGAGATTGCTTCCCAACCTTTAAGTTTGTATCACATTGATTTTCACTTTTTGTCAGCATGTTGGGCCCAATTTACAAACCAAATGTAATTTTACCTATAGCTGAAGGACCTTCCCAACAATACCCTTAAAAAAAAAAAAAAAAAAAAAAAAAAAAGGAATACACCCTAAAGGGTCCCACAAAAGGGCGAAACATCAGTGGACCCCACCATTGGATTTAGCAAAAGCGACATTAAGATTGTAAATTATTTGTTTGTGTTAACCAACGAGGAAAGAGGGATTGGCACATAAAAAGCAAAGCGAAATAGAAAAATTTATATAATAATGCTATATGTACAAATTGACGATCATGAATATATAAAGAACCTGATTGGTAAGAGTCTTGACAGCATCTTTTGTATTTGGAGTACCTCTCGGTGCTTCCTCTCCATCGTCAGCTTGTTGCTTTGAGCATGTTATACACGTCAACATTTTCTACTGTACTATTGATATGTTTGTCGATTCCTTTCTTTCGTTTTTCAAATATTTTGCTTCAACTGCATGAAAATAAAAATTACGCATTAGAAAAACAGTATTTCATTGTCAAGATTTTATAGCAAATTCACAGATGGTACGAGTTAAATTTTGCTTTGAAAATAATTAAATTCGAGAATTATTTGAAATAATTGCCAACTTGAATCAGTATGAAAATAGAGGGTTATATATTATGTTTGAATTATAAGTTTAAATATATTTGGATCCCACCAAATAAAGTAAGGTATCTAAACCTAACTATTTAAAAATTGAATTGATCTAAATCGACAGAAAATGTATGACAGAAACACTAACCTACACTCACAATACGTGTGAGACTTGTGTGCATTAAAAACTCCAAAAAAAAGGTGAACCCATCCTATTGTGAATATTCGGTCAGGGTGCTTGTCAACTATTTTCGATCAGTGTAGCTTGCTTGTTAAAAAATTATCTTGAAAAATAGAAAAACCCTGATTGGTGCAGAATCTTCCCCAACAAATCAAGAAATAGAAAGTATTCTCTCAAAATAAGATAAGAATAAATGCCAATCAATCACTTTCCAAATTCCAACCAAAACAATAAAGAAGATGAAAAAAAGTGGATAGAGAAAGAGAAAATGGGCTCGCGATCAGAGGAAGTGAAAAAAAAAGAGAATATTTATTCAATGAATATTTATATAAAGAAAGATTCAATAATTGAACGCAAAATCCTAAAGTAGTCAACGTGTCTGCTTTAATGTGCAGAAGAATAAAGAATCAAGATTTTGTGCAGTGAGAGCCGAATTCTCTGACAAACTTCATTATATAATTAACATCCCAATAATAAGTAACTTTTTTTGCCCTTTTTCAGCTTATCAAACCATTTCTTTCCATTTTCTTCAATAAATCCAAAGTAAAGTAAAATAAATATATGCGTACTTAATTATATACAGTACACAATACGTTGAGAAAAAGAATAATCTTGTTGAGTTGTAACTGGATTCTGAATAAATAAATAAATGCTGTGTCTAGTCCTGTTACGAACTGATTGTGACTTACCTAAACCACCACTCGACAGCTTCTTCAAGTTATACTCTCTCTCTAAAACTCTCTTTGTATGTGTTTTTTTGCAAGTTACAACTCTTCAAAATCAACAGTATCAAGAAAAGATATGGTTTAAATGAATACACGATATCACAGTATTGAAACTTGGCTCAATGTCGTGGTAATAAAATTTGAAATGAATGTTACTATCAATATTTTACCTCAAAAGAACTGCAAAATCCCTTCAAGAATCACTTTGAAGCTTCTTCAATGGTGATTCAAGAGCTAGAAATTTCTGGGTTTCTTCCTGAATCTGTTAAAGTTTCGCTGCAAAACGAAAAACCCAAAAGAACCCTTCAAAGATTAATCCTTGCATGGATTAATTCTTTCGAAACTTGAAATTCTCCGATTTAATCTCGCTTCCCGCTGCATCTGATATGCCTGGAGCTTCGATTTTCTTCAAAATGGAATTATCACTGCATCTGCATTTAAATATATGTGTTTGTTTGAAGGATATATGAAGAAAGACAAGGAAACAGCATAAAGTGGTAGTCAAGCTGTCAGTATTTATAGAGTGATGGGACGCCGTTATCTCTCGTCGTTATCTACCTGGAAAATATGTAGGGGTGGGCGCGGGTCGATTCGATTCGGTTCTAAAGAGAACCGAATCGAACCGAAATTTTTGGGTATATAGTAAATGGAACCGTCGGGTCCAAATATAATTATGGAACCGTTCGGGTTCGGTTCCATTCGGTTCGGTTCGGATTGGTTCGGTTCCGTTCGGTTCTGTATATAATTAAATTTTTTTAACATTTATAACAACATTATATAAATACAACTAATGATACATTCAATGGTTTTGGAATGTCAAAGACTAATAAACTACCTTATTCAAATGAGGTTTGATTTTAAACCGCAATTAAAATTCTCAAATATAAACCAAACTATTTTGACTGGTTTGGTTTGGATCAAAACCATTTCATTGACCTGGTCCACGTGGCACCAAACCGACGGTTTCTAAAATGTGATTTCGTTTCGATTTTCCGATTTTGCGATTTTTGCTTACAGCCCTAACACACATGGGATGTTAGTATTTTTTAATTCACGAGGGACCCACGAGCAATGCGAGGGTCAATCAATATTTTCGGGCAAACCAACTTTATTCTTGAAACATATATCAATTTTGAAGCAAAACAGATTTCTTCTCCTTCGTTGCTAAAACTGATTCTTCTAAATTCTAACAAGCCAAGCCCAAATCTCTCTCAAAAATCACGATCACCATAATTCAATTTAGAACCAGATACACGAATTAAATGTTAATCAATTTTCTCAATATCTTTTTCAAGGAAATTAAAATTTTCTTCTTAAGGAATTTTCTTGAGTGCACTAGAATTTTAGTATTTGATTATTGATATAATCTTGAATAACATATTGATGAAATCTAATTCATGTTTGTGTGGGTATATAACAATTGATTCTCCACTTTTAATTCCGACTCAATAATAAAATTGGGTTCTAAAAACATTGATATTATACTTGTTTGCATTTTTATTTTTATTTTTTTCGGACGAAAAGGAGAGACATACTAATGCTTGATCTTAGAAATGGAAACAATCATTTTTTACCCACTCGACAAGATGAATTCCTAATTTGCCGAACAAAACAACAATATGTGTTTGAGTTTTGATTGGAATTCTAATTCAAGTAGTAAGGTTAACTGTTTGCATTTTGTGGGCAAGAGCTAGCAATGATAGTTTACCACCTTTAACCGCAGTTATTGTCTATGGCTAGGCTTTCTTTATTCATGGTTATACCTCCCTTTAGGCTTTTAAGCAAAGAAAAAAAATTTCTCGGAATAAGCAGACAAGAACAAATAATTCAAGGAATGTCACCTGAGCTTTTCTCTAAAGGTCCCCTCACATAAGATCTTCTTAGGCAACGAAAGCATAGTCAAAAGCTCCAAAGTCATTCCATCTCTTCATTTTAATCTACTGGGAGAAAGGTTCAAAAGCAACACGTTTGGCTTCTTTGGGAAGTAGATAGAACAAGACAATTATTCAATACAGTATAAGATCAGACAGAGATGATGCTTAATACAATATAAGTATCGACAGATCTGAAGAGTTCGTGTTTCACCGCCATCTTTTTATATAATTATATTGTACGATTCAAAAGTGATACACTTCTATATTATCTAGAAGGTATAGCGAAACATTAACAAAATAATTGCATTCTTTCCTTGACACTTCAAAAGTTTGAACTTTCAAATATCACGGTGCAATATAATATTAGTTCAAACAGTTCAAGTATCGCTACCACTCTAAAAGTATCAAATCTAACATGCAAAAGAGTAGAGTAAATAAGTTTATATTTTGTATAACAAATTAAACTTTTAGATGATTATTTGATTTGTACAACATTGAGCAATATTGTACGAAAGAAAAAATTTCAAACATGATTAATATATTGAATCAAAGAGTGGTCCTACCATAAAACCTCGCCATCACTCATTTATTTATGTAACCGTTTAAAGTTTAGAGAAGATGTCACTATTACAGAATAACATTTAAAAGATAAAAAAAATTTAAAATATTGTTTATTATAGAGCCAAATCTTAAAACTTTTCGACTATTCAAATCTCTTTACCTGCGGTCGAAGCAGATTTGCAAAGCGGGCGTGACCCATAATGTTGTGTACCAACAATGGGACCATGTTGCTGTCTTCTTGACCACTGCCCACTTTATTTTAAACATGATTGGCTAATGCTTATGTCTTTTTAATGATGAATTTTATGGACCAAAATAATAAATTATATGTTATTTTGAATTTATTTAGTCCATTGACCTGTTATAAGTCATCAAACTCAGTATATGCTACAAATAAGTTTGAACAAGGGACATGACATGCACGGCTTAATAAACTATCTAAATAGAGTTGAACGTTCTTTATCTTTAATCTTATTTTGTCGTATTGAATCTAACTTATAAAACACATTTTTAACGATCAGTTTGTGTGTCAATTGGGTCGGCCGGGTGTGACCCGACTATAGGCCCGACATAATTCAAATACAACCAACGCATAAAGTTTGGGGAAATCCATGAGAAGCATATGCCAAGGTTAGACTTTAGTTTAAGGTTTGAAATATTGGTGCAAGAGAATAACGTTAAGAAATGGAAAGTGATTAAAAAAGTAATTAAGTTTAGTAGATCTTAATCTCAATCCCCATGTCTTTTTCGATTCCCAATGTTTGATTACTTTGATTACATGACTACTTTTTCAGTTACTGTACAGATTTTAACCCCTGTTTAAGGATTTGATTATTAAAAGAAGAGATTAGATAAATGAAATGAGAAAATGATTACAATGAAGGCCTTTGTTCACGACTTATTTCTTTTGCTTATACAAAAATACTTTCATTTTTTTTTTCCCCCGCATGTAATTTGCCTGTCTTTTTTCCTTGAATGAATGTTAAAGGTATAGTAAGGTAAATTGAACAACATTAGACTGGCGCTATTATTCAGACAAAAATTGCAAGCATATGAAAAATAATAATGTGATCAGTTGAGTAATAGTCCATGAGGAATAATGGTTAACTACAGCAACCAATTTCCATAAGATTCGATGTTTGTGACACAAAAGCAATTTGAGTGTTTATATTTTTTTTTTCCCCCGCATGTAATTTGCCTGTCTTTTTTCCTTGAATGAATGTTAAAGGTATAGTAAGGTAAATTGAACAACATTAGACTGGCGCTATTATTCAGACAAAAATTGCAAGCATATGAAAAATAATAATGTGATCAGTTGAGTAATAGTCCATGAGGAATAATGGTTAACTACAGCAACCAATTTCCATAAGATTCGATGTTTGTGACACAAAAGCAATGTGAGTGTTTATAATTTTCTTTATTAGAGTCTGATTGGGAGTTATTTTGAGGATTCATTTTTTGACCATTAGGAGAAAAGTAGAGTCCACATGTGAAAGAAGAAATCAAATATGACGGCTAAAATAGTGAAATAACGATCAAAAAACAAATTTTTTGTAAAAAAATCACTCCCAAACAGGCCCTTAAACTATGACTAATGTAAAAGATTGGTTTTTATTAATTTATGAAGTGGGTGTATTGGGTTTCAGAGTCTACCTGTTTACATTTATTTCTAATTATCGAATTATGTAGTTTAGTGTTGTTCGAGCGTTAGTGACAATTGATAATTCTACGTTGTTTAATCTTCTGATTTAAGATAAAATCAAACGTATTCTAAGCACGATCTAACCCTATTTCTAATCCGAATTCATATGTAAAGAGATGCATTCAACAACTCGTGTCAATTATACAATATTCCAACCTATTGGAGTCTTCCAACATTACAATAAGTAACAAGTTATCTAATTAATAGCTAAACAATCAAATAACGCAATAATAATGCATAATTAATCACCTATACAAGAATTCACCAAGCTATCAATTCAATAAATAAAAAACATATGACCAATGATTTCATCACCCATCCAATATAGAAAGAAGTTTAGCATAACATGATAAAATCTAAATTACACAAAAAGTTAGAAAAGATATTTCCGAATTCAAAGAATAGAAGTAGGAGCTTGACAAATCAATTTCTTACATTTTTTCCTTCGATTTGACCCTTGAATCAACAACTTCTTGTATTAGCTTTCTCTAAAACTCTTGTCAAGCTTCGATTCAATGCTAGAATATGACATTATAGCATCTAGACCACTTCTACTAGGTTTAAAATGTGTATAAAATCATTCCATAAAGGAGATGGAGGTAAGAAAAGAAAGCAAATTTTTCCTTTGGAGGAACACCATGCGTGCATGGCATAAATTTCATGCGTGTGCATGGTATTATGCCCCATACACATGCATGGAAGTGGGAATTTTGCCTCAATCAACCATGTTGAAGGTCCATGCGCGCACATGGAATTTATGCCATGCAGGCACTTGGTTATGCCTGAAGAGGTCATTAGTATTTTTGTCATACTTTTTTTTCTTTTGGTATCTGATTGAGACGATTTAAAGTATTTTGAAAAGCTAATTCAAAGAGTTACAATTCCCGTAGAAGTATTATTTTTTCAATTCGAACATTTATTATACAAAATGAGTCTTAGTCTGAGGCTTAAAATTCGAAGCATAACTAGTTAGGCTAGAAATTGATTCATAAAAATTCTTTGACTATATTTCACATTTTTGACTTCTTTTCTTGTCCATTTGATCTTTAGTACTCTCGAATCTTTCACACAAGATTCGACATAACTTTAGAGTATTTGTACTTTAATTTCCGAACTTTGGATCTCTTGTAATTTAGCCATTTTTACCCTTTTCTCAAATTCATCCATTTTCGTCGATTTGCACCAAACAAACATAATACATATTGAATTAAAATTTGTTTATGGTGGAGTGTTGTCTGGAGTTGCTGTAAGGTAAAGGATCATTAGAGCTCTCTTGGTGGAAGAGCAAAAGATCGTATTAGAGATAAAATGGAAGAAGTATCTGAAGTTTATTGA